AGAAAAGAAAAGAAAAGAAAAGAAAAGAAAAGAAAAGAAAAGAAAAGAAAAGAAAAGAAAAGAAAAGAAAAGAAAAGAACCAAACAAAACCAAAACAAAAATGAAGATTTGGCCAAGTATTGTGCTATATACCTGTAACTCAGTACATGGATGGCTGAGGCAGGATGATCACAAGTTCGAGCCAACCTGGACTACAGGGAGAGAATGTCTCATAACAAAAACAAATAAATTATAACAATGAGAGGGCATACGGTCAGTAACCCAACCTTAGCCTCCACACTGAGAAACAAAAATAAAGATAAACTGAGGAACACCACAGAAGGGAACAATTAAGTTCAGAGTGGAAAAATCGAAGTCAAGGATTTCCAGGCAGTGGCTGGACGCAGCCTAGCTGCCCAGTGAGGAGTGATAAAGGCATATCAAATCAGTGGGATGCTACTCAGCCTTAAAAAGAAAACGATGATCCATGATACGACACTGATGAGCCATAGAGAGCTTCCTGTCTCGGACTCCCCAGTGCAGGGCTGAGTCATCAAATCCCACTTACATATTACTTATCTTTGACCTGCTGGATAAAGTTTCATTTAAAACGTTGGTTTATGAAAGTTCGGTCTCCCCTTCCCTCTCTTTGGGAAGACTTGTGCTCAACACCGGATAGGATAAGCACCTCAGCTGGTTCAGGAGTCAGATGGTGAGGGTACAGAGAGGAATGTGGCCCAGCAGCTGCTTGTGGTCAGTGGAGGGCAGATAGCATCCAACTAAATTCCAGCCCACCCAAATCCCCGCCACCCAGCAACCAGCGGGGTACAGGGTGTGCTCTCTTCATGGTGGTGTTCAAGGGAAGCCAGTAATGTCAGGCAGCCTGTAACCTGCATTTCCATTGTGCCAGGCCCTGCCAGGTCCTTTTCCTGCCTTGCATCACTGCACCCATGTGCTAGTTAGGGTCCTCCTTTGCCTTATCCCAACTCTTCCTTCATCACTGAGGTAGGCAGGGAGACCCCTGGGCCTCTGGGAGTCCCAGTATCACTAGGTTTGGGAATGGACCAGGGGAGACAGCTGTAGCTCATCTAGGCTGCACAGAGCACTGGTCTCAGCTGGCGGGAGTAGGGGGAAAGGTGCTGATGGGAGGGACCCAGTATCAATTCTGTGTATTATTCAGCTCTATAGCTGTCAGAGGTTCATTTGTCCCACTGCCAATTGCACCCTCCTCCCCCATCAGCAGTAGAACTAAGATCAGTGTAAAGGAAAGCCATTGTCAGTGCTATGCCCAGCACTATTGACAGAGCCTCTACTCCACTGTTCAGAAGATTCTTACCTTCCTGAGTTAAAAGCCTGGCTCTTCCCCTAAACAGCTCAACTTCTGTTTGAGTTCCTTCCTTGCTCAAAGTACTCATCTCAGCTTCCCAGAAAGAGGCGCATGTGAGCCTGGCACACAGGCAGTCACCAGCATTACATGAAAGGCTGTTAGAGGATATTTGGCACAGAAGGTCTTGCTTTCCCATTTCCCAAGCTGCCTGTGGGTGGGTGGTTCTTAAGGTGTCCTGAATGGCTGTATGTGGGAGCACTTAGCTGGGAATGGTTGGACAGTTAGGGCCATGCACAGACTTTGAGTCCTTATCTCTTGCCCAATCAGAGAGCCCTGGGGGAGGAGTGGGCTCAGCCTTCAGAGAAGTCACATGATTCCAAGGGCTTCTTGCTCACTGCCCCCATGGAAAGATGGGGTGGGGTGGGGACACCATCAGTACTGAGCTCCCACCTTGTAGGGCTCCAGTAGTGGAGTCACACTTGTCACCATGGAGTCTAGGGTAGGTCTAGGGTGGGCCCACGGTTCTGCTTTTCTAACAAGTTCCCTGGAACTGTTAACAGAGCTGTGTCAGGGCTAGACCTGAAGCATCAAGGGCCCAAAGCCTGGCACAGCCCTGCCTGAGAAATGCCTAGGATGCAATGAGTGAAAAGCCCAGCCTGGCTCCCCACCCAGCTCCACTCTGGTTTCCAGCATCTGGAGGGTAATACTGCATGGCTTTTCAGAATTGATGGGATTCCATTTCCATTACATATATAAAATAAATCCAGCTCTGCATTATTAAAAAAAAATTGTAAAATGTGGAAAAGAACAGGAGGGGAAAAAGATCACTGATAACTGCACTGAAAAAGATGGCTGCTCTCTTCTCTTCCCCAGGACCCTGTACCTTTCAGGGAGTCTGTCATGCAGAGAGGGGTCAGCTGCAAATGTCTTGCTTCATCGGAGCAAAGCACAGGGAAAAGAATGCAGCTGCCCCCAGCACCCTCCATCTCCCAGTCCTGTACCCTGAGAGGGATGCTGGGCCTCTTGGCACCTGATGCCTTTACCCTGACCTATCCTGGAGCACAAGTAGGCCAGGACCCTCATCCATTTTAGCTCTAGGCAGAGGAGGCAGGGGTGGCTCTGAGGGAGGGGGCGCACATCTGGATTCCTGGCCAGGAGCCCACATTCCTTCCTGGTGAGTATGAGCAGATGGGGCCTCCAGAGAGTTATGAAGAAGCTGCTGGCTGCCTCCTGTCCCACTATAATGGGACTCACCCTGCAGGAACCACTTGTGGGACCCAAAGGACCAAAGCCTCACATGGGGACCTGGTTTGGATCCAGAATAGCCCATGCAGATTGCTGAGCAAGCATGATGAGCCCAAGTGTTGTCTGTGCTCCTCCACCCCAGACAGTCTCACTAAACAGTACCAGGGAAACAGAAGGCCCAGGGAGACCATGTCCCCACCTACCACAGACCCAGCCAGGGAGGAAGCTTGGAGAGCCCCGTTGGGCTGAACTGCCTTACCTGAGGGCAATCCTTAATGTAGTGTCCTTTGTTGAAACACAGGTGGCATAGGTAGTTCGGAGGAGGCCGCTTGCTGGGCTTGCGGGCTTCAGAGGTGAGCGTCAGGTCTGAGAAATGCTCGGTGAGGGAGCTGAGGCCATCGGCGATGTTGTTGAGGGAGCCATAGGGTGAAGCATTCCTGTACACACTGCTGCTCAGCGCCTGTGGGAACAGACAGAGGCTATTCGGGGCTACGGCAAAGAAGGCTTTCAGTCTCCCCACATCGATTCACAGGGAACTTCCAACCAGCCCCAAAGCCTAAGTTCAAACCTTAACTCTGTTTGTGAGTTTGGACTCAGGGGCCCTGCCTATAATGTGGGCACATAAAAGCGACCTCCTAAAGCTTCCATGAGGGTAAAGTAAGGTCACGAGCCCATACTTTGTCACGTGTGGGGCCCCAGGACTCCTGGGTACATGGTGATGATCTTAACAGCTGCGAGTGTTGTTACAATCAGCGTTTGACACACTGCTCCAGATGTGGAGGTTAATACTGCCAACCTGACAGGCTCTAGAATCACTGAGGAGATAAATCGTGTCCGTGAAAGAATTTCCAGATTGGGTTAAATGATTTGGGAGAAGCCACCCTAGATTCGAGAGGCACCATTCCGTGGGCTGGGGCCCTGGACCCAGTCAAAAGGCAAATCAGGTTCACAGTAGCATTCATCCACCCCCTTTCCCAATTGTGCACACATGTGACCATCGGCCCCAGCTCCTGATGGCACAACCTCCCTGTCATGATGGACTGTGTCCTCTGACTGTGAGCTAATGTACAGCCTTACCCCCTTAAGCTGCTTTTGCCTGGTGTTTTCTCACAGAAACAAGAAAAGTGACTGTTACAGATGGCATCAAAGGAAGCCATTTGTCAGGTATAGAGGGACTTCAGACATGCCTCTGTTGACTTCATTTCCCATCAACAAGAAAGAGACGTGGGAGCTTGCAGTGTGGCTACCATTTTGCAGACCTGGAGGCCAATGCCCAGAAGAGCCCAGCTTGCCTGAGCCACCTCTCTGAAAGCCCGGAGAGGGAAGCGGCTACCTCTCCCATCTCCACATGACGGGAACCAGACACCCCGTTGAGCTCCCAGGCAGAACAGCTCAGGCCCTGCTCGTGTATACAGCCTCTATTTATAGACATCACAGGCTCCGGGTGGCATGGCCCACTAGAATTTAGTGAAGGTGGGGCCTGTGGTGGGGCTGGCAAGGACTGGCCAAGGGCTCCCCTTTCCTAGTGAAGGGCCAAGGCTAGAAAGCAGCAGCTTCCCTGGGAAAGTCAATAAGTGGCTAGAGTCCTCTGAGGGCGCTGCAGATGCTGTAAATGGCAGGGATGAGCTCTGGCACGGGGCTGATGGGGAGATGAGACCTTGCTTCCAGGAGTCCGTAAGCTGATAGAGAAACAAGGTTCCTGGAGCCAAGAGTTCAGACGCCCTTGCAAAGGAGGGGCCTGGCAGGGGCCTAGAGCATGGACAATCCTCTGCCTCTTCAGTGTGGGAAAGGGAGAGAAGAGAACTGACAATAGTCTAGGACATCAGGTACACTCTGCCCAACTCCAGTAACAGTAGCTTTTAATCTAACGTTTCTGTCTTCAGAAGCTAGTCACTCAACTCCTGGAGGATCCAGCCCTCATCTTCCAGTACCTGGGACACCTGAGCTGGACCTTTCTTTCTCTACTCCCTCTTGCATTATTTTGACCAGAGTGTGGCCATGGAAAAACACAAAAGATGCCACAGCTAGAGTTGCCCAGGGCTAGCACACAGCTTTCCTGCAGTGAGGGGACCACATGGATCCTTAGCCTCCCGGTGCAATGTGAAACCCAAGATAGTGCGCTCCAGCTCCGTCCCTGGGCCAGCTCTTTAGCTCTTGGGCAAGCCCAGAATGGAGCGGCTTCCTGAGAGGCAGTGACCCTCACCCTGGAAGCGGAGAGCCTACAGGGTCACTTTCTGAAGTACAAGGGGACAGCTTTGGTGGAAATGAGACAGGTGGCCACGGTAACAGGCCAAGCCCTAAGAAAAGTATACTTACTGAGATAGCTGCTTCTCATCATAGCCCTGTGAGTCACTGCTCCTACTTCACAGATGAAATGAGTGTTCCAAACTTGTATTGAATGACCTGGAAACTAGTAACAAAAACAGTTTTCTGGGCTCCACCTCAGAGTCACCACAGCAGTGGCTTGGGACCAAGGGCATATTTTGGTGTGTGATCAAATCTCCATTGTGACCGTTACCATTTTAACGATTTTAGAGCGTACAGTTCTGTGGTGCTGAGCATATCCTCACCAAAGACACAGCCGCTGCTGCCACCCACCTCCAGACTCCTTCACTCTGAATCCACTAGACAGTAATTCCTGACCTGAGTCTGCTTTGCCCCCTGGAAAATTTGGGCAGCAGCCGCCAGTTCACTGGTCTCAAAGTACCAACTCCCAAGTCACTCTATATCTTGACTGGGAGACCTTGCCTCGTGCCAGGAGGCTACTGGCTTCATCATCTCAAACTGGCCTGAGTGAGGGCAACATAGCCCCAGCCTCTTGGTGAAAAGTTTATCCAAACAAGAAATCTAAAGCTCCGAACCCTGTGACTCATGCTCACGGCTGGGAAATGCAATTTCACAAAATAACAACCCTCTTCTTTGACTCCCCCCTTTTCCTTTCTTTCATTTTTGCTGGATAGGACTTAAACTAGACCACAGCCTTCAATACTGTTTTAAGAGGAAGGGGAAGTTTGGTGGATGCCAAAACTACACTAATTACACCCTAAAGAATCCTCTCCTGGGCCTTGTGGCCACACTCCCAGGCTCACAACAGCCCCTCAGGCATCTCTAAACAGCCAAAGGCATCTGAGGAAGACACCCCCTCCATGTCAGCTCAATACTCTCTGATGCCACCAAGGTTCACAGATATACCTTCCCTAGTAGATCCATGGACAGAGTAGGACAAAAGCCCCCCTCCCAGAATCCTGGTCCCCACTGTCCCCCAGCCTGTTTATATAACTGCCACAGCTTTCTGTCGAGGCCCAGCCCAAGACAAACATCACCCAGAACTAAGAGTCCAAAGAGAAGTCAGTTGATTCAACCACATTCCTGTCCTATTAGGAGAGAAACCAATGTTCTGAGGGCTTCGGGGACTCAGAACCAGTTGGAACAGAGAGCCAAGGGTCCAACTTGCCTGGTCAGAGCAGGCTGGAAAGGTCAGAAAGCCATTTCCTCTGCAAAGCCCCATTTGAACTCCGGCCACAGAGGTGAAAGGCAAGTCCCAGCTGTTTTTCTGACTTGTAGGGACTGAGCAGAGAAGGGTTGGGAACTCTTGGAACAGAAGGGAGGGGGCAAACTTAACTGTCCCTGCAGCGCAGCATTGCCGGGTTCAGACACTCAGATTCTGAAAGCTGCCCAGGTGCTGGCATATGAAGCCACGAGCCGTTCACTGTGCTGCAGGGCCAGCAAGAAGAGCACAGATGCCTGCCTTCCAAAGGCCCTGCTCTGTCCAAGGGAGGGCAGCCCCACTACGTGATGGATGCAAGCCACTGGATTACATCATCAGCCTGGGTCAGTGACCCCAGACGCTGGTAGGAAGTATGGAATCCTTCCATCATATGTGAGAAGACACAGCATCAGACTCAGGGTCATTGCCAGAACCTTCTCCAAAGTTCTTGATGAGCAGACAGGAAAAAGTATATGAGAAGACTGGTTTGTTCTGACCGCTAGTTGCTCTGGTATTTTCTATAGAATCTTTTCCTTTTCTGAGTTCCCCTTGACTGCTAAGACGCTATTTATCTGAGCACTGATCTCATTCTTGTAGAGCTGGAAACTGAGACTCAAAGAGACTTAGCAATCTGCCCAAGGCAACGCAGTCAAAATGTGTTGGCCAGTTATATATCTCATCCACACACATCCTCTCAGGCCTGGCTCCAGAGGACAATGTCAGGTGTCACATCATATGTATAGCCCCATGGTACTGAATAAGATGTGACTCCAGCTTCTCTGGACCCTGGAAAGGGATTGGAATCTGGAGACAGCAGTTCTTCTGTGGACTGTGGAGGACAGAGGCATGGAGTCCCCTTTAGCCCACCCTCCCCAGAGAATCCTGCCCAGCTGGACTCTCCTGCAGGGCTATCAGAGGGAACCACAGACAAAGGAGGAACAGGCAGATGCTGTGCCAGTAGTTAGACACTTCTGAGAGTGCCCAGAGAGAGTGGAAGTCTGAGCCACAGAGATTGTTCAGGCAGGAGCAGAAGGGCAGCAGGTGGAAGTGAGACACAGCCTCTTTCAGAAAAGACAGAGTCATGGGTAAGGCCAATGGTGAAGGTAGTGTTCAGGCCATAGGCAGAGTACCCAAGCGAGATCAGGCAGACATAGATGTTCTATGTCCTGTTCTCTAAGCCAAGGCAGGCTCAGGGGAAGGAGCCTCAGAGGAAGGTTCTAGCTCCCAGTTCTATGGGGTTTCTTTCATCGGTCAGGCATCTTCTTATCCCCTAAAGCCACCCAAACCCTGGCCTCTGCGCCCAGCACACACATACACATTGCAGTAAGGAGCCATCCACATCACCAATGGCTGTCCCCCTGCTTCCAAGAGATCTGCACTTCTGTCCCTAGCCCACCCAGCATGGTGCACGTCTTCACCCTCTACACGCAGATAAGTGGGTGTGTTCTGGGTTGGGGTGTAGGAGACAGTATGCACAGGTGAGAAATGGGTCTCAGGAAAATGAAACATTGTAACTGAGGGGTTCCCTGCCACACTTACTCTGACCATGTTCTTCTTTCCAAGGCCAGGGACATATGAACTGGCCAAGACTGATCATGATCCTTTGCTAGTACAGACACATGTAAAGCAGTTCTTCCTCCCCACGCAGCTGGTGCTCAGTAAAAGATTCTAAACTAATGGCCATGTCTAGTCCTTTTAGATGAAGGAACTGGGCAGAGAGAAATGGAGACCACGGCGTGGAGCAGTAGACACTGGATGTTGGACAGAACCTAGGAGACCTAGGGATAAGGGAAGACTTTATCCCCACCTCAATTTCTTGGCCCCAACCGAGGGTCACCACTGACTTTACGGTGCTCGTGGGTCATGGCTCCTTGACTGCTTCCCAGCTAGCACAAGAGCACTGGGACCCTGTGTCTCACACTTGCGAAGCACACTTGCCAAGCAAAAGCAGAAAACGTGAACCTGAAAAACCA